GGGGGGGGGGGGGGGGGGGGGGGGGGGGGGGGGGGGGGGGGGTCCGAGAGGCCGGGCGAGGAGTCTACCACCCTGGCTCCCCGCCGCCCAGACGACTCACCATCGGAGCTCTTGTTAGCTTCCTTCAGCTGCTCTTGACATTCCTTCTCACTCAGGATGATGGCTGCCATATACCGCTCGTTGTTCATGGAGATCACCTGACCAGACGGGACACGGGGCAGAGCTCACGGTCCAGCCCCCGCGGGTCCCCTTGCTCCTGGGCTGCCCAGACCCTCCGGGCTGGGGCCCCAGATCCCACACCCGGGTGGCCTGGGTTGACCCAGTTCGCAAGGGCGTGACTCCTTTATGGGGGATGCTGGTCGCATCTTTCAAAGTCCTTAACTGGGGCGGCCGGGGGGCTCAGTCGGTTGAGTGTCCGACTCTTGGTTTCAGCTCAGGTCATGATCTCGTGGTTCATGAGTCCGAGCCTCGTGTGGGGCTCCAGGCTGACAATGTGGAGAGTGGGATTTTCTCTCTCTGCCCCTCCCCTGCTCCTGTTCTTTCTCTCTCTCAAAATTAAATTAAAAAAAAAAAAAAGTTGTTACAGTTAATACTATTGGGCCATAAAAAGCAATGAAGCACTCACACCTGCTGCAACTTGGATGAACCTTGAAAACATTAATTCACATGTACGGCCAACGAATTATGTTTTATCTTTCTATATTTTACTTTATTGAGGGAGAGAGGGCGCAGGTGAGCGAGGCGTAGAGAGAGAGAGAGAATCCCATGAGGCGCAGAGAGAGAGGAAGAGAAGATGACAGAGACGGGGAGAGAGAGAGAGAGAAGCAGGGTTCACCCAAAGTGGAGCTTGAACTCATGAACCGTGAGATCATGACCCGAGCCTGCTTGGGATTCTCTCCCTCTTCCTCTCTCTCTGCCTGTCCCTCGCTTGCACGCTTTCTTTCTCTTTCTCTTCCTCTCTCTCTCAGAATAAATAAATAAACTTTAAAAAAATAATAGAAAAAAGAAAACAAAAAAAGAAAATCAATACAGGTGCCAAAATCATTCATGGGGGAGAAAAGAGTCTTTTCAAAAATGGAGCCGGCACAGCTAGATCTCCCCATGTTAAGGAATGAATTTGGACCCCTACCTCACACCATATACAACAATGAACTCAAAATGGCTCAATGACCCAAACATAAGACCTAAAGCTACAAAACTCTTCAGAAGAAAACGTACGTGTTAACTCCGCATGACCTTGGATTTGCCAATGGTTTCTTAGGTGTGACACCCAAAGCGCAGACAAAGAGAAAACAGGTAAAGAGACCTTCATCAAAATTAAAAACTTTTGTTCTTAGGAAAAGACCATCACATCGCTAAGTTGTATACCCGAGACTGACGTAACACCATATGTCAATTATGCTCCAATTTATTTTATTTTATTTTTTTTTTAAATTTTTTTTTTCAACGTT